CAGAACGTGCAGCCCTCCGCTCCAATCCCAACCTCACCATAAAACCCGCGGACAAGGGAGGCGCAGTTGTAGTATGGCGCACTGACCTCTACATCGCCGAGGCCAGACGCCAACTCTCCGACACCTCCTCCTACCGCCCCCTTGATCATGACCCCACCCCTGAGCACCAAACCATCATCTCGCAAACCATCCACAACCTCATCACCTCAGGTGACCTCCCACCCACGGCCTCCAACCTCATCGTCCCCCAACCCCGCACCGCCCGCTTCTATCTCCTTCCCAAAATCCACAAACCTGAATGCCCTGGTCGACCCATTGTCTCCGCCTGCTCCTGCCCCACCGAACTGATCTCCAACTATCTAGACTCCATTTTCTCCCCCTTGGTCCAGGAACTCCCTACCTATGTCCGTGACACCACCCACGCCCTCCACCTCCTCCAGAACTTCCAATTCCCCGGTCCCCAACACCTCATCTTTACCATGGACGTCCAGTCCCTCTACACCTGCATTCCCCATGCAGATGGCCTCAAGGCCCTCCGCTTCTTCCTGTCCCGCAGGCCCGACCAGTCCCCCTCCACTGATACCCTCATCCGCTTAGCCGAACTCGTCCTCACACTCAACAACTTCTCTTTCAATTCCTCCCACTTCCTACAGACAAAGGGGGTAGCCATGGGTACCCGCATGGGCCCAAGCTACGCCTGCCTCTTTGTAGGTTACGTGGAACAATCCCTCTTCCGTACCTACACCGGCCCTAAACCCCACCTCTTCCTCCGTTACATTGATGACTGTATCGGCGCCGCCTCGTGCTCCCACGAGGAGCTCGAACAGTTCATACACTTCACTAACACCTTCCACCCCAACCTTAAGTTTACCTGGACCATCTCTAACACCTCTCTCCCCTTCCTGGACCTCTCTGTCTCCATATCGGGCAACCACCTAGAAACCGATATTCATTTCAAGCCCACCGACTCCCACAGCTACCTAGAATACTCCTCCTCCCACCCACCTTCCTGCAAAAATGCTATCCCCTATTCCCAATTCCTTCGCCTCCGCCGCATCTGCTCCCAGGATGAGGCATTCCACTCCCGTACATCTCAGTTGTCCTCGTTTTTCAAGGACCGTAACTTCCCCTCCTCGGTGGTCGAGAACGCCCTCAACCGTGTCTCCCACATCTCCCGCACCTCATCCCTCACACCCCGTCCACGCAATAAAAACCAAAAAAGAATCCCCCTCGTCCTCACGTACCACCCCACCAACCTCCGGATCCAACGCATCATCCTCCGACACTTCCGCCATCTGCAATCCGACCCCACCACCAAAGACATCTTTCCCTCCCCACCTTTATCTGCTTTCCGGAGGGACAACTCTCTCCGTGACTCCCTTGTCCGCTCCACACTCCCCTCCAGCTCCACCACACCCGGCACTTTTCCCTGCAACCGCAGGAAGTGCTACACCTGCCCCCATACCTCCTCCCTCACCCCCATCCCAGGCCCCAAGAAGACTTTCCACATCAAGCAGATGTTCACCTGCACATCTGCTAATGTGGTATACTGCATCCGCTGTACCCGGTGTGGCTTCCTCTACATCGGGGAAACCAAGCGGAGACTCGGGGACCGCTTTGCAGAACACCTACGCTCGGTTCGCAACAAACAACTGCACCTCCCAGTCGCGAACCATTTCAACTCCCCCTCCCATTCCTCAGACGACATGTCCATCCTGGGCCTCCTGCAGTGCCACAACGATGCCACCCGAAGGTTGCAGGAACAGCAACTCATATTCCGCTTGGGAACCCTGCAGCCCAATGGTATCAATGTGGATTTCACAAGCTTCAAAATCTCCCCTCCCCCTACCGCATCCCAAAACCAGTCCAGCTCGTCCCCGCCTCCCTAACCTGTTCTTCCTCCCACCTATCCCCTCCTCCCACCTCAAGCCGCACCCCCATCTCCTACCGACTAACCTCATCCCGCCCCCTTGACCTGTCCGTCCTCCCTGGACTGACCTATCCACTCCCTAACTCCCCACCGACACTCACCTTTACTGGCTCCATCCCCGCCTCTTCGACCTGTCTGTTTCCTCTCCACCTATCCTCTCCTCTGTCCATCTTCTATCCGCCTCCCACTCTCTCCCTATTTATTTCAGAACACCCTTCCCCTCCCCCTTTTCTGATGAAGAGTCTCGGCCCGAAACGTCAGCCTTTCTGCTCCTATGATGCTGCTTGGCCTGCTGTGTTCATCCAGTCCTGCACCTTGTTGTCTCGGATTCTCCAGCATCTGCAGTTCCTACTATCTCTTTTAAAAATAATTGTCCCTTCTGATGACTTGGAGAAGCAACAGGTCTTGCGTGGATCGATTGTGCGTGTTAAATTGTACCATTCTTAGGTGACCACCTTGTCATCTTACTTCATTGACAGATGTGCAGGCATCTAACAATTTAGAGGAGTGTCAGACAAACAAGAGTTTATTTTTAAAACCAATGTTTGTATTAATTTTGAATTGTTATTTCTTGTTCGCAGGCTAAATTCAAATGTTGAATGCGTACCATATCATTTTCAGTTGAGCTACAAGAATGCAAAGCAACTTATTCAACAATATCCTTTTTTTGTGTTATTTTCGTGATAGGGATTAAATTATTTTTGATTATTTAGATTATTCTTAACTCATTTCTTCAAATATGACATTGTAGTAGATTGCTCTGACAATGTCCCTACACGGTTTCTTGTCAATGACGCGTGTGTTCTGAATGGGAAGCCACTGGTATCAGCTAGTGCTCTAAGAATGGAGGGACAGGTAAATAAATAATAACAAATACTTATTTAAAAATTATTTCACTGATGTTTACGTTTAAAGTATTATTAATCTAGATTGAACAGGGGACAAATGGGTGGCGTTGTGGTAATGTCACTAGATGAGTAATCTAGAGATCCAGATTCATGTTCTTCCTCGTGTATCAGCTTGAATAAAACCAGTGAACGAAGGGATTTGAGTCTTGTCTCATCACAGTGGGTACAGGAGGGAGGAAATCCTTCCTGCCTCACTGTGAAGTCGATACAAACCTGATAGTTGATCATATGATGGATACTAGGAGTTCTGAAATGGGACAGGTTCAAGTCTCATGCTGACAGCTGTAAGCTGAAACATAAAACTGGTCTCAGTAATGGCTACATTGTGACCTGTCAGATTTATTAGTGTTCTTCAGGCAGTGAAGTTTTTCATCTTTACCTACTGTGGTATATATGTGACCCCAGACTCACAGCATTGTGATTGAAATTACTTATTGCATTATAGAATAAACATCTGAATAATTTGAAATTTCCTTATAATTTGGAATCTTAAGAATTCCCTACCTGTGAGAGCAATGGAGCCCCTATTGTTAATATATTAAAGGCTGTTAGATTTTTAGTTATTCCAGGATCAAACAATATGGGGAATGGATGAGAAGTAGAATAGAGGTGATCTTGATTCCAGTGAATTATAGTTGGCTTGAAGAGCTGATTATCTACTCCAGCATTTTTTTCCTATTCATTTGTGGGATGTGGGTGTCGCTGCCCATTCTTGCCCATTCCTAATTGCCCTTGAGAAGGTGGTGGTGAGCTGCCGCCTTGAACCACTGCAGCCTTCTTGCTGTGGGTTGACCCACAATGCTATTAGGGAGGGAATTCCAGGATTTTGACCCAGCAACCGTGAACGAACAGCGATTATATTTCCAAGTCAGGATGGTGAGCAGCTTGGAGGGAAACTAGGAGGTGGTGTTCCCATGTGTCTGATGCCCTTGTCCTTCTAGATGGAAGTGGTCTTGGGTTTGGAGGTGCTGTCTGAGGATCTTTGGTGAATTTCTGCAGTGCATCTTGTAGATAGTACACAGTGCTGCTACTGAGCGTTGGTGGTGGAGGCAGTCGATGCTGCGGATGTAGTGCCAATCAAGCGGGCTGCTTTGTCCTGGATGATGTCAAGCTTCTCGAGTGTTGTTGGGGCTGCACCCATCCAGGCAAGTGGGGAGTATTCCATTACACTCCTGACTTGTGCCTTGTAGGTGGTGGACAGGCTTTGAGGAGTCAGGAGGTGAGTTACTTGCCGCAATATTCCTAGCTTCTGGCCTGCTGTTGTAGCCACTGTGTTAATGTGGTGAGTCCAGTTGAGTTTCTGGTCGATGGTAACCCCCAGGATGTTGATAATGGGGGAGTCAGTGATGGTAACACCATTGAATGCCAAGGGACGGTGGTTAAATTGTCTGTTATTGGTGACGGCCATAGCCTGGCATTTGTGTGGCGCGAATGTCACTTGCCACTTGTCAGCCCAAGCCTGGATATTGGCCAGATCCTGTTGCATGTGAACACGGACTGTTTCAGTATCTGAGGAGTTACGAATGGTGCCGAACATTGTGCGATCGTTGGCAAACATCCCCACCTCTGACCTTATGATGGAGGGAAGGTCACTGATGAAGCAGCTGCCAGTGGGACAGGACATATCCAGGGATGGTGATGGTGGTGTCTGGGACATAGTCACACTCACAGAATCATACCTTATGGACAATGTCAGGCTGTTGCTTAACTAGTCTGTGAGACCGTGCTCCCAATTTTGGCACAAACCCCCAGATGTTAGTGAGGAGAACTTTGCAGGGTTGACAGGGCTGTTTCTGCTGTTGTCTTTTCCGGTGCCTAGGTCGATGCCAGGTGATCCATCTAATTTCATTTCTTTGAGTCTTAGTAGTGATTGGCACATCTGAATGGCTTGCCAGGCCATTTCATAGGGCAGTTGAGACTCAACCACATTGCTGAGGGGCTGGAGTCACATGTAGGCCAGACCAGTGAGGGTGGCAGATTTCCTCCCCTGAAGGACACTAGTGAACCAGATGGGTTTTTCCGACAATTGACAATGGTTTTGTGGTGATCAGTAGATTCTTAATTCTACCATCTGCCATGGTGGGATTCGAACCTGGGTCCCCAGAACATCAGCTGGGTTTCTGGATTAACAGTCTAGCGATAATACCACTTGGCCATCGTCTACCCTCTTTGTCTTGTTCTTATGCAACACTGCTAAGGTATATCGGTCTCTTTTTGAAAAAAACTGAGATGAAGGATTAAGTAGATGAGTACACGTCACTACGAAAAGAATAGGAAGAAAGATGAAGTCAGTTAGTGAGTAGTTGGGAAATAGTTGGCAATATGGTTAGAACCATAGAATTCCTACTGTGCAGCAAGATTTGGCCCATCAAATCTGCACTGATCCTCCAAAGAGCATCCCACCCAGACTCCTCCCCATAACCCTATATGGGTTTATTATCCTGACTAACCCACCTAACCTGCACATCTTTGGACTGTGGGAAGAAACCAGAGCACCCTGAGGAAACCCACGCAGACACAGTGAGAACGTGGAAACTCCACAGAGATATTTGCCCAAGACTGGGGTCAAACCCAGGTCTCTGGTGCTGTGAGGCAGTAGTGCTAACCACAGTGCCACCATGCTGCTGTTAAAGTACTCATAATTGTTGTTTGTTTTTTATATTGAGAGTTTTTAAGAGTAACTTTTTTTTTAAACTTTTCAGCTTACAGTATATAACTACAATGGTGGCCCCTGTTATAGATGCCTCTATCCAAAGCCACCTCCAGCTGAGACTGTAACTAATTGTTCCGATGGTGGAGTTTTGGGAATAGGTAAGACCATAAGAAACAGGAATAGGAGTAAACCATTAGGCCCCAAGAGCCTGTTCTTCTTTTCGATAGGATCATGGCAGATCCAGTGTTTCTCACATCAAATTCCCTGCCCTTTCCCCATAACTCTTGGTTATCCTACTGATCAAGAATTTATCTGTCTATCTCAGCCTCAAATATACACAAAGATTCTGCCCACAGCTCTCTGTGGCAAGACTGTTCAACCCTCTTGAGAAGAAATTTCTCCTCATCTTGGTGTTAAATTGGCACCCCTTTTATATTTAGACTATGCTGTCTAGTCCTGGACTGTCCCATGAGGGGACATATTCTCTCAGCATTTACCCTGTCAAGCCTCTTACTTAACCTATTACTATCTTTCTGTAAATGGTTTGTATCCCTGTCCAACCTGATTCCCCATTGACTTTTTTTTTGCGTTGTTGTTTGCAGATTTGGTGTCAGTACCTTTACTCCCTTCCTCCAAGTCATTAATATATAATGTAAACAGTTGTGTTTCTAGCACCGATCCACATAGAACCGCACTTGTCAAGGGTCACCAACCTGAAAAAGAACCCCTTATCCTCACTCATTGTTTCCTGCCCATGACCCACTCCTCTATCTTATTGATAACTTTTGACATTAACAATATGAGTTAATTGTTATATACTCCAGATGAGAAAAAGTGCTCATCCTGCTTTATAGTGGACTCATTCTTGTGACTTGAATGTTTTCTGTTATATCCTTTTGAGAGGGAAATAAAGCAATCTATAAGTAATTCAGGAAATCTTTGTGTAAAACTCTTCTCCGATCCTTCAAAAGCAATAAACTCGTCCCAGGAAACAATCTTGCTTGTTACCCACAATCTTACCTGTATTTTGTTGTGGTTTTCCAAAAGTACATTTTCCAACCTTCTTGAAGGCATTCAAGGAACCAGTCTTCACCAATGATTGACAACCCTATGAAGAAAATAAAACTTCCATGCATCTTCCTTCACTTAGTTTTAAATGGTTGATCCCTATTTCTAACCAACAACCATGATAAGAAACTGAACTGGACCAACCAAGGAAGTACTGTGGCTATAGGAGCAGGTCAGTGCTAGGAATCCTGCAGCAAATTACTTGTTTCCTGACTCTCCAAAGCCTGTCCACCATCTACATGGCACAAGTCAGGAGTGTATTGGAATACTCCCCTTTCACCTGGATAAGCGCAGCTCCAACAACACTCAAGAAACTTGACGCCATCCAGGACAAACAGTCCTGACCGAGGTAGATGGTTGGCTCTGCATCCACTCTGTTCACTACCGATACACAGTAGCAGCAGTGTACACCATCTACAAGATGCACTGCTGAAATTCACCAAGCCTACTTAGCACCTTCCAAACCTATGACCACTATTGTCTGGCAGGACAAAGGCAGCTGATACATGGGAATAACACTGTTTGCAAGTTTCTTTCCAAGCCATTCATCGTCCTGACTTGGAACTACAATGTCATTTCTTTTGTGTTTCTGGGTCAAAATCCTGGAACTCACTAACAGCATTGTGGGTGTATCTATACCAAATGACTGTAGCAATTAAAGAAGGCAGCTCACTTCACCACTTCAAGAATATTTGGGGATGGGCAATGAATGCTGGTCCAGCCAGTGAAGTCCACATCCCTAGGTTAAGTTTTTTTTTAATATAAATATACACTTCAAGGCAATTTATCTACTTGTTTGTAATTGATGCCCTTAATTCTCAAAACTAAGTCATATCATTGCTACATCTGTGCATCTCCAGCACAACCAAAACTATCTCCATAGCTTCGTTAAGATCATTCTTGTCTATCTCTAGATAAAAGTCCTTGAAGTAAAATAGAGACCAAAGCTACACAACACTTCAGATAATATCTCACTTACATTTTATATAAACAACAACATAATATCGTAGTTTTGTTCAGCAGGACTCGAACACAGTTTTCTCTGGCACTCAATGGAGGTTGAACCTTTTTTTATGGAGTGATTAAAGGCTACAGTCAAGTCTCTTTTCTTGTCTGCCACCTTTCATACACACTCAAGTACATGACACTGCACATGAACTCTGTCCACTGATGTGTATTACAATGTGTTGGGTTTCTGTTTTGTTTAGTAAACATTAATAGCTCAAGAATCACCATTGACTCATACTGGTGGCAATCATTGAAATCAAGTTTTGAAAAGTTATAGTATCTGAGTTTATAAATTATAACTGAGAATTATAATGGATTGTTGATATGTGTTACCATTGCAAATTAGCACCCCCATACTGCCTTCATCCCAGGCGCACTGTCTGGTTTGTTTTGTCTGTGGGCAAGGGGTCTTGCATCCTTCCAGAACCCCCTGGCCTTGTTTCATTCTGACTGTCAGATAAGGGCAGAATTTGCTGGAGAGGACTGGGTTAGGAGTTGAGCAGAAAAGATAGTAGATGAACAGTAGTGAGTGTTTAGGGGAGGGCCTGTTAGGTAATTAATAAGACAAGTTTGGTAAGATGCATGAGGACTCGCTAAGCCTCTGAGCGACCCTTTGATCAGAGTTCTGGCACTGTAAGTTAAGGGCATCCTCCAATAGCATTCCAAGGGTCTGGACATGGTCATTTGGCGATTTGGAGTAGTCAGACTCAGGATCTTCTGATAGGTGAGCAAATGAATAAAAGGCAGCACGCCATCCTTCTTGACTTTTTTTTTTCCTATTTTTGGGTTGTTTCTCTCATGGACTGAGCGAGAGGCAGGTATTACAGGAGATGGAAGTGGATAGGCACAATGCGTGCTGCTGGAGCAGGTGAGGAGGCAGTGGAGAGGACATGCAGTGTTAGTGTTATGGGTTAATCTTAGTGCGAACACATGGTGCAAGATTTTGCATGCGATAGAGTAGTAGAGCTCAAGCCTTTGGTGGGAGGTGTGTATAGTATTATGGGTAGTGATTTTTGAGGTGTCTGGAAGATGATAGTGGCACTTACGCTGGCTTCTTCCAAATGGCTGAGATTGCCAACTGGGTTAAAGCAACCTTGAACTAGGCAGGCATGGTCTGGCATTCTGGCTCCAGTGTCTAGGGCAATGTCAGCAACCATGTAGGCAGCTCCACTCATCTGATAATGCTTGGTCAGATGCACAGTGGGGCTTTAGAGATGGCATTGAAGCAAGGGATGCTGGTGAGTTCATTGATATTTATGCAGTAATAAGTTGTTTTAGGAATGACGTGATAAGATGGGGGTGGAAATTAGACATGAGGGATGCCATAGGGGTGTGATAGGTAATTAATGAGGCGAGTTTGGTCAGATAAGACCAGAGAACTTGCTCGGCCTCATGACAACAAACTCTCCAGAAACTCTACACAGCTCAGATTTGACCGAAAGGTTTTGTTAGATTCAGTCTAGAGAGTTGGGGAACCTGTAACTAGTGGAGTACCACAGGTTTTTAATCAGGGGAATTGAGGGTTATATGGCGGTAAGGCAGGAACCGGAGTTGAGCAAGATAAAATCAGCCATGATCTAGTGACTATTGGAAAATTATGCAAAATTTTCCACTCCTCTTTCCTTAAACACCCTGGACTACAATCCTTCTGAAATCGGTGACTTATCTATCCTTCACATGACCAGCCTTTCTACTATATCTTGTCTATCAATTTAATTTTATTCGTCACTCGGAACCCAGACCGGGTGTCACTGAGCAGGTTATTGTTGAGCAAGTGCTGTTTGATAGCACTGTTGATGACACCCTCTATCACTTTACTGATGATTGAGAGTAGACTGATGGGCCGGTTATTGGCTAGATTAAAATTGTCCTGCTTTTTATGTATAGGACATACCTGGGCAATTTTTCACAATGTCGTGTCGATGCCAGTGTTCTGTCGTAACTGGAACAGCTTGACGAGGTGGGCGGCAGGTTCTGAAGCATAACTCTTCAGTATTACTGCCAGAATATTGTCAGGGCTCATAGCCTTTGCGGTATCCTGTGCCTCCAACCATTTCTTGAATTTTTATGGAGTGAATCAAATTGGCTGAAGACCGGTATCGGTAATGCTGGGGACCACTGGAGGAGGCAGAGATCGATCATCCATTCAGCACTTTTGGCCGAAGGTTGCTGCGAATGCTTCAGCCTTATCTTTTGCGCTGATGTGTTGGACTCTTCCATCATTGAGGATGGGGATATTTGGAGCCTCCTCCTCCTCCAGTGAGTTGTTTAATTGTCCACCATTATTCTTGACTGGATGTGAAAGTACTTCAGAGCTTAGGTCTGATCCGTTGGTTGTAGGATCACTGAGCCCTGTCTGTCACTTGCCGCTTGTGCTGTTTGGCATGCACATAGTCCTGTTTGATAGCTTCACCAGGTTGATACCTCATCTTCAGGTATGCGCTGGTGCTGCACCTGGCATACCCTCCTGCACTTTTCATTGAACCAGGGTTGATCCCCTGGTTGTTGAGTGCGGGATATGCCAGGTCATACAGTTGCAGATTATGCTGGAGTACAGCTCTGCTGCTATTGATGGCCCGCAGCGCCTCAAGTATGCCCAGACTTTAGTTGCTAGATCTGTGTGAAGTCTGTCCCATTTAGCATGGTGATAATGCCACACAACACAATGAAGGTTATTCTCAGTGTGAAGGTGGGACTTCATCTCCACAAGGATTGTGTGGTGGTCACTCTTACTGATGTTGTCATGGGCTGATGCATTTGCAGTTGGCAGATTGGTAAGGATGCGGTCAAGCATGATTTTACTTCTTGGTTCCCTCACCACCTGCTGACAGACCCAATCTTAACAGCTGTGTCCTGCAGGACCTGACCGGCTCAGGCAGTAGTACTGCTGCTGAGCCACTCGTATTGGTAGACATTGAAGTCACCCACCAGAATACAGTTTGTGCCCTTGCCATCCTCAGTGCTCGCACCAAGAGTTGTTCAGCATGGAATGTCGATTCATCAGCTGAGGGAGGATAGTACGTGGTAATCAGGAGGAAGTTTCCTTGTCTGTGTTCAGCCTGAAGCCATGAGACTCCCTAGGGCAACTACATCCTGATTGTACATTACTGTGCCACCACCTCTGCTATGTCTGTCCTGCCAGTGGGACAGGACATAGCCGGGTATGGTGATGGTAGTGTCTGGGACATAGTCATGCTCACAATGCCAGGCTATTGCTTGACTAGTCTGTGAGGCAGGTCTCCCAGTTTTGGCACTGGTTCCCAGATGTTAGTGAAGAGGACTTTGCCATGTTGACAAGGCTGTTTCTGCCATTGTCTTTCCTTGCCTAGGTTGATGCCAGGTGATCTGTCTGGTGTCATTTCTTTGAGATACATAGCAATTTATACAACTGAATGGCTTGCTAGGCCATTTCAAAGGGCAGTTGAGGGCAATTTCCAGTTGGAGCTTTAATAGAACAATTTGTGCTTTGAGCTGTTTCTTAACTTGAAATGTGGTAACTTATTGAGAGAAAATCTGATTTTATACCTATCGTGCCTTGAGGCTATTATACTTGCTCTACTTTGCATTATGCTCTTCAAATAGAATACTGTTTTAGGTATTTTAGGTATTGTTCAGAGATGGTGTTACGAACCTCTGGAGCAGGTGGAACTTGAACCCAGGCCTCCTGACTCTGAGATAGAGACACTTCCATTGTGCCACTATTCTGTTTTATACTTGCTAGATCTGGTTAATGCCAGGAGGAGTGAAATGAAAAAATGATCATGGTAGAATACGTGGACATACTGTTTAGATACAAACTGGGCAGTGGGCCAGTGGTGATGTGAGGAGCCTTCTGACCTCGTGGTCAGGTATGTGATATATTTCACATATTTCATTCTGATAGTAATGTTAAACTTTTTTTTTAAGCAGACTTCCTTCATGAATTTATTGAACGATTCTGTGATTTTTCACATTGCCCGGGAAGCAGCTTTCTCTTGTACTAACAGTGTTATTTCTATTTCTCTCATCTCTGCCTCTGAGGCTGAAATGTTACAATCTGTAAGGTGCCATTAGCAAAGAGAAACGTGAAGGGCCATTGGAACTATGCTACAAGCATTCATGTTTTTAAACAAAAACACAAAATTTATTATATTTAATGAATGAATTAAGCAAAGAATTGCTTAAGAATTAAGCAACTTAAGCATATTGAGCAATATACTTAGCACTGTTAGTTTATTGCTGAGAAAAGAGATATGGCATTGAAGCTTTTCATCTTGCACTCATAAGGACAGTTAACTGCCAAACTTGAAATTCAAGCCAGGTAAGCCAAATCCGTTTTTTAAATTATTAATTCTTGGGATGTGGGTATCATTGGCAGGCCAGCATTTATTGCTCATCCCTAATTATTCTTGAAAAACGTGGCAGTGCCTTTATAAATGACTGTAGTCGATGTAGTGCAGTAATTATGTTTAGGTAATGTGTTGTTATGGAGGTAGTTCCAGGATTTTGCTGGCCATGTTTGAAACACAATGCTCACTTCCCTGAATTTTTTTAAAGTTTTGTTAACCTAACAACTTTTTTTTCATATTATAGTGCCTGGAATTCTGGGATGTATTCAGGCACTGGAGGTGCTGAAGATTGCGTCAGGGATAGGATGTATCTTTTTAATTCCTTACCACTGTAACATAATAAAATGTTTCTGTGAAATGCTCTAGTGCATTGGGGTACCCATTGGTAAAGTACAGTTGCTGAATGAAAACTTCGAATTGTAATCTTTACAAGTGGTAGCAGTAGATTCTGAAAAGCTAATGATTTGAGTTATATAACACCAAAGACACAGTAATGTCGAAAGGGTGATTCAGTACAATACTGCCCCCATGTGGCTACAGGTGACCTTTGGTTGTACCATCCCAGTAATTTCTCATCATAAAATCATTATACAATATTTGAAAACAAAATGAGGGATTAACATTTTTCATTCCACCCCCATCTTCCAATTTCCCTGTTTTCTCCCTTTATTTCCCAAAATTGGATTGATGTGTGTTTTTTGAAAAAAAACAAAAATTAATGTGGTCACACCGGTATCTGTAAATGTGTTGTTTTTGCCAAGAGAAATATACTGTAGATGCTATAAATCTGAAAATTTTTTAAAAAATCAGAAAATGCTTGAAAATACTCAGCGGTTGGCAGCATCTGCAGAAAGTAAAACAAATTGAGTTTGAGATTAATGATCTTGCAAGGTTGTTGCCAATTTCATTGTATGTTGTTCCTGCCTTAAACGTGGGACTTTTAGAATGATGGGAAAGTAAAATGCCCTTTTCTGCAATGCATTTTCTGAGGAAGGGTCTAGACCCGAAACGTCAGCTTTCCTGGTCCTCTGATGCTGCTTGGCCTGCTGTGTTCATCCAGCTCTACACCTTGTTATCTCAGATTCTCCAGCAACTGCAGTTCCTACTATCTCATGCCCTTACCAGTGGCAACTTTTCCCCAGCCCCCCTCAAATCTAATGGTAACTGCTTCCTTGATGCTAAACGTCGGCATAGATGCAGTTCCGTCTGTTATCTCACTCAGTTGGGTAATGTTCATGTATGAAGATTTGATTTGGACTGACATGCACTGAACAGGTTAGTTTAAATAATAAAAGGATTATATTATGTGAGATGAAATGAATCACTGTATGCTTTAATAGTTATTCAATGTTACTATTAGTACTTGTGATGTATGATGAAAATATTATAGATATTCCTTACGGTAACAGAATCACCCTTTCCTACAATATGGACCAAATAAAGTAGTAGTATCAAGTGATGGTTCCCCCTTTTTGGTTTTTTTTTGAACTTTACTGTTTCAGATCAGTTCAAATTTATATTTGACTTTTCTTCCCTACTTTCTACTGTGCGTGAATCATTCCCTGGCTATAATGTTGAACTGCAATTGTGAGCGGAATCTCTATTCTACAGAGAAAGGAAATCTCTGCTAATTCAATGCTTCACGTAATCGCTATTCATATGCTATTTGATGATCAAGGCAGAGGCAAATGATTCCTTAACAGATAAAAATTGATCTTATGTGGGTTCATCTGCATTAAATTGAGTAGCTTTCTTGTTTAACTGGCTGTGTGATGCATTTTATCAGCTCCCAGCTTTATGCTTAGCTGGAATCTTGCACTGGGAATAAAATAATTTATTTCCTGCAACAGAAATACGTTTTCCCATTTTGGTCCTTAATGATAACCTATTCAGCATCTTACAGCCAACAGATGTTAATATTTGATGCATTGGAAACTCGATTTCGCACCATTAAGCTTCGCTCCAAGCAGCCAACATGTGCAGTGTGTGGTGCGAATCCAGTGGTGAAAGATCTGATTGACTATGAAAAATTCTGTGGCTCAGCAGCAACAGATCAGGTTAGAAACGTACATGGTCTGAAAATAGAAAGTATTAAAGAGGTCCAAAAGTGAAAGAGAACATTACATTGACCGGTATAACTGTTCAATACTTCTGAATGATATAAACTCGTCATTATTTTCATATTAATATTTGAATTTGCAGCATTTGTGGATGATTACCATAAACAATTTGCATTCTTTTATAATAATTTAATCTCCTGCCTTCGTTTAGTTTACAGTTCTATTATTCCCTCCCTTTGGGTGCTCTAGCACTTGGCATTTTTTTCCAACTATGATTGAAAGCAGGTTAACTATTTTTAGGTATAACAAAGTGTGGAGCTAGAGGAACACAGCAGGCCAGGCAGCATCAGAGGAGCAGGAAAGTTGACATTTCGGGTTGGGACTCTTCTTCAGAAATGGGGAGGGTGAAGGGAGCTCAGAAATAAATAAAGAGAGGAGGGATGGGCCTGGGGAAAGTAGGTGGGTTGGTGATGGGTGAGTGCAGGTAGGAAGTGGTGGGGATTGGTCAGTGAGCTGAGAGGGGTGGACAGGTGGGAGGGAAGATGGACAGGCTGTGTCAGGCCTTGAGAGCCTACAGCCTGATGGCCTAATCATGGAATTCACCAGTTTTAAAATCTCCCCACCCCTGGTCTCATCCCATGTCCAACCCTCCTCCTCGTCTCTGCCCCTTTGACCTGACACAACCTGTCCACCTTCTCTTCCACCTATCCGCACCTCACTGACCACTCCCTACCAGCACTCACCTATCACCATCCCACCTACCTTGAGTGTCGTCTTAAATATTTAAATTGACTCTACTTTCACACACCTTTCTGGAAGAAAAAGTTTCAGATTTTCACTACTTGTACTCTTTTCTGATTTTACTTCTGGCTGGCTTGATTTATTTGTAATGGTTGTGGGTAAATCACCACAAGCTACCTTTTTAATTCAGCTACTTATTAAGAATCTCACAATCAGATACTGAAACACTGATTTAAACATACAGCAACAAAAATAAGATCCCTCGAATAAGCAAGTTAAGCCTCACAAGTGTACTTGGCTATTTTCCGATTAGTAGTGGAATTTGGTTACGCTTCCACCAACAGTGTCTGTGTCTGGAAATGTCCAGGTTTCTAACATTGTGCATGCTGTTCTTAGAGGTCCTGTGACTAAATTATTCTGGTGTTGGATTCTTGTACAGATTTTCTTTGTTTGTTTGGGTCTGTAAGGTGATTGATGATTGTTTAGATTCTTTCATCCACAATATTTCAAGTCTGCAGCTTGCCTTTTTCATCAGGAGTATAAAATCATAGAATCCCTACAGTGTGGGAGCGGCAATTTGACCCATTGAGTCCACACTGACCCTCTGAAGAGCATCCCACTCAGACCCAGGCCCCCTTACCCAGTCCCTGTAACCCTGCATTTTATCATGGCTAACCCACCTAGCTTGCACAACCCTAGGCACTATGGACAATCCACCTAACCTGCATATCTTTGGACTGTAGGAGGAAACCCAGGCAGACATGGGGAAAATGTAAATTCCACACAGACACCCAAGGCTGGAATCAAACCCCGGTCCCTGGTGCTGTGAGGCAGCAGTGCTAATCATTCAGCCACCGTGCCACCCTTTTGTTCCTTGTTATATTTGGCCTAATTGTCTGTTTGAAGGTGCAGCTTTCCTGCAGTTGATTCCTCAAATTATTCTGCAGGGCAATCAGTTATCTTTGTGGCATAAAGTAGCCAGTCATCAAGCACATGTCAAAATAGTTTTCTTCATATAGCTTCGACTGCTTCTGCCAAACACAGCTCATTGCTTTCAATTCCTGTATAAATTCCTTGTCTTTAATAGTTTATTCCAGACAGTTTTTGCTGCTTCTTTCCATGTGTAAACGTTATCTTTTTGATTCTTTTAATCGATGAACAATTACTAAAGTTCTGAACTTTATATTCTACTCCCCTGTTCTGGATTCTTTCTCACTATTAATAGTTGTACTTTGAATCAGCTCCAGTTAATCCCTTTAACATTTAAATACCTCGATAACATCATTGCTCAGCTTTTTAAACTCCAGCAAATAGAAACCAAGATAATGCAATCTGGCCTCATAATTCAACCAGTTAATTCTAACAAAACAATATTTTGCGGCACCGTGGTAGTGTCCCTATCTCTGGGCCAGAAGGTCTGGATTTGTAACCTATCTGTTCCATAATGTGTCTGAGAAGGTTGATTTTAAAAAATGTCTACAATGAAACCATTGTTTCTTGAATTAAAACATTCTTAAATCAAAGGTCAACATTCTATTACAGTTTTTGATTACTTAAAACTGTTGCAGGAACAAAAAGTTATTTGTGTACATGGACACCTAAATCCTTTTGCTCCTCAATGGCTCCCAGTCTTTCCCCACGAAGAAAACATTCTTGCTTTTATTTCTTGAGGTCCAAAACAGATAAGCTCGGTTTCCCACTTTTGAACACCATCTATCACGCATTTGCTCACTAATTCATTCTCTGATCCTTTTAATTTTCCTGTTCTCATGTACACAGCTTAACTGCACTCTCTAATTTAGTGTCATTTGAAAATTTAAATATATAACAATTCTTTAAATGAAAAAAAACCATCAAGTGGAAATCTGAAACAAAATCAGAAATTGCTGCAAAGTCTTCGCAGATCTGGCAGCATCTGTGGAGAGAAAGCTGAGTTAATGTTTTGTATCCAGTGAAGAGGTGTCACTGGACCCGAAATGTTTACTGTGCTTTCTCTCCACAATTGCTGACAGACTGGCTGAGTTTTTCCAGCAAGTTCTGATTTTATAGCAGTTCCTTTTAATGTTTCTAATATATGTAATGAAAAACTGAAGCTTCATTGTAGATCAATGGGGAACAATACTCCCAAACTTTCTCTAAACAATAAGAGAACATTCCTTCCCTCCCTCCCTGCCTGTCTTCCAAGCTCTTCCAACCTTTTACCAACTAGTTATCTTCAATATAGTGCACTTTGATGTTTGGTAATCTGTTGTGCAGAGCCTTTAGCGGATGTTTTTTGAAAGTCTAATTGCGAATAGCCATAGATTCTAGGTGGAAGTCTCATTTGGAGAATTGTGACTAAAATCAATTTATCATTTGTGTTGCAAACTTTAGATAGATGTAGCAGTACATTATGCTTTCAGGAAGTATTTACCCTGACTAAAGTGAGAGTAAGGAGAGTTTTCTTCTGTTTGGTGCTTGTAATTTATTTTTATGTAAATGGTTTAAAATTTTACAAATAACGAACAGAAGAAATCATCCACTGCCATCCAAGTGATTTGATAAGATGCACAGAGCAAATTACATCAAAAGGTACTATGTTAGAAATGTCTTCCTGGGCTTACTTAAAAAGAAGTAAAACATTTGGAAATGGTAACTGGCTATGTTGTGGACAAGTCACTCTTATTGATGAATCAGAATCTGAGGGAGGTTTAGCTCAAACATAACCCTCTAACAGGTAGAGATAAAATCTGTCTTAGTTGCCTTACATTGGTGTTATTTATATATATTGCATTATTCATATTCCTTGATTTCCATGACTGATTTGTACTGAGCCCAAGCCATAGTACCAATCTTCTGATTTTTTTTAAAATTGTTAGGAATACCTGGATTAAATTGACAGGGACAAGAAAGTGATAAATGTTCAGAGATGGAAAGCATGGATTAATGTGCACTTTCTATCAGTGTTTACTAAAAGAGAGCTGCTGATAGAATATTAGCAGAAGTGGTGATGGTAGACTTAATGGGTGAGATATAAATTGATTAACAGGATGCATTGGAAATGCTGGCCGTACTTGCAGTTGGTAAGTTGTTGATCCAAATGGCTTGCAGTTGAGGTTGCGAACAGAAATGCAAGTGGGGATAATACTGAAAAGACTTGCCAGTCTTCCAAACTTCTCTAGATAAGGGAGGAGTGCCTTAAGAAGGACACTTCATAATGAGATTGAAAAGTGACAAATGCGGCACTCTTGTTGAAGAAAGAATGTAAGGACATTCCTAGTAACCTAAAGACAGTCAGTTTAACATTAGTAGTGGATAAGGTTTTAAAAACAATTATCAGGGAAAAGATTAACAGATTGATAGGTTTGAATTAATGAAAGCAATCCAGCACTGATTTGTAACAGGCAGATTATGCTTTATTAATCTGATTTCAACTTTTATTGAAGAAATAGCAGAAGGGAATGATGTTGTTGCATGGATTTTAACAAAGAGTTGGACAGAGTATGGCATAAGGTTAGTTCAGCATTAGCTTGGTTAAAAAATGACTTAAACAGCTTGATGTAGTGTTATTCTGTATATGCATAAATGATTTGGATTGTGGGATTCTAGAAAAATGTCAATATTTGCATTCAATGAACTCAAAGGTGTGGCAAATGGTAAGGATGGTGCCAACTGACTGCCATTGGATAATGACAAGTAAAATGGGCAGACAAATGAGAAATTAGAATTTAATAGAGGAATCTGAACTGATGCATTTTGGCAAGAAAAGGTAGATGATCTGCCTTTAAAGTGATCAACTTTTTGTTTAAAAAAAAAGGACAAATGGTTCCTTGTGCCACAAAGACTGATTCTACAACATTTAAAAGAAAGTAATATTCTAAGTGAAGAGTTAGTTGAAGATCCTCATTTCTGGAGAAGGATCCCGACCTGAATTGTCAACTTTCCTACTCCTCTGATGCTGCCTGGCTTGCTGTGCTCCTCCAGCTCCACACTGTAATACCAATATTCTAAGTGAATGTTGGATAATCTTAGATATAGTATTCTTAAAATTCCTTATGAATGCTTGCTTCCAGCTTTTTACAGAGTTTTGCTGGATAAACTTTAATTGGCCAAACATATTTGCAGGTACTAGATAAAGGAATTATTTGGGACTGCAAGATCTACTGAAATCAGTGACTTAAGTATCAGCCCTGGGCCTTTCTGACCTACAGAAACAGACTGGATTCAGAAATAGAATGCAAACTTGTCAGATCTGCAGGTATAACTAAATTGACAGGGTCAGGGTAGTGTAGTGAGTCAGGAGGGTCATTAACAAATGGTATTTAGTGATATTGCGACAAGTTTAAGTTTTATTTCAAGTTAAATTAGAAGCAGAACAATGGAACACAGATTCATAGAGAGGAAAGAAATGTTCTGATTGGTTGAAATGAAATACTTCTGCACAAGTATTTTAAAATTAGGTGCTTAATGATCTATTCAGCAAGACAATGTGATAAAATTCACAGGAAATATTCTGAATACACAAAATATACTTTAAAAATTGTCATGATCTGTTGCCATTCACCTAGCTTTTCTAAAGTTTGTGCTTTGCCAGTGCTAGCTAGAGTGAATGCCCCTACCAGCTTAGTATATCCTTGTCTTCATACAAATCCATGATGCTGTACTCCAGTGAATAAATCTTCAATCTTATTCATTTCTACTATATCCACCAGGTGGCCATGGTGGACAAGGCTAATGGAGTTGCCAACAGTTCAACTGATATTTTCACATCTCTGTAGAGTCCTGTATATTCAATCTGAGAATTTTTTTTCTGCACAGTCATAGTTTCTTGAAGTCTCCATTCTAACCATGTATATTTATCAGTCACTTTCTTTTGAAATTAAGTATGCCAGACGCTAAAACAGGGTCTAGGCCCGAAACGTCAGCCTTTCTGCTCCTATGATGCTGCTTGGCCTGCTGTGTTCATCCATCCCTGCACCTTGTTGTCTCGCTAAAACAATTGAATTGGCTTGGAGGCATGCAACTGTTGGCAACTTTTTTAAAATTCATTCATAGGATGATAGTGTCACTGGTTAGGCCAGCACTTATTGTCCAGAGGGAAGTTGAGAGTCAACCACATTGGTATGGATCTGGAGTCACATATAGGCCAGACTGGGTAAGAATGGCAGTTTCCTTCCCTAAAGGACATCACTGAACGATGTGGGTTTTTCCAACAATCGGCAATGGATTCGTGGCCATCATTAGACTCTCAATTCCACCACCTGCTGTGGCAGGCTTCGAACCTAGGTCCCCAGAACGTTACCTGGGTCTCTGGATTAACAATCCAGTGATTAATGCAACTCTGTCTTTGCCTTCCGAACTTGATGCACCACATCAATGGAGAGTTTTGTTTTAAATCAGAAATGATAGCACATTCTTGTACAATTTTAATTATGTCTTATAAGTAGAAGAGGTTGTGTAATAAAAATGCCTGTCCCATCATTCCTTTATACCGTTTGAAGCTGCAATAAATTATTAATGTATATGTTATATATATAAAGGTCTGTGTCTTGGTTTGGTTAGCCTAACTCCTGATCTCTTCTATTTCCTATATTTTGCAATTTTAGTGTAGGACACTTCATTTATTAACTGGAGAACAAAGAATAACTGTTCAGGTAAGATAAGCAATTTTAGCTTCCAGATCGAGAATTTTCTCCTCCGTTTTATTTGTATTTATCAGTTGATGTAATGCAGCTGTATTTGTCATTGTAAATATGTTGATATACTACATTTCATATGCCTGAAAATAAAACCAATTTTCTGTTTATTTACAGAGGAAAGATTTCATATTGCAACTTACTTTAAAGTTCATAAATTGACATCGCCCATAGGGCCATACTAAATTGTTCAGAAGGCCTGGCTACTAACAGTATTTTTTCTAATCAATCACTTTACTTCAGGAATATAAACAACTGTTAGATCAAGGTGTTCCTCATGTTCTGGTAGATGTTCGTCCACAGGTAGAAGTTGATATTTGCCAACTACCTAATTCCATTTGTATCCTTTGAATTTGTTTTGATGATCTTTTATGTATTCTGGTAGGCATAATGCTGAAATAAAATTAACAAGTATAGAAGCCAAATAGCCATCAAATTTATGTTTACATTTACATTAAAGTTTCAAAATTGTGCCCTGAAACGCTGCTTGTGCGTATGTGCAGATTGATATTCAAAAGTACAACAAAATAAACAAACTTTTTTTTTTAAATTGTCCTATGTACTGTTAGTGAAGAGTATTACTTTGCATGCTAACCAAATAAATCATATCTTACATGAGTACATTATGGTCATCGAACACAGTGCAAAATATAGTGTTACAGCTTGAGAGGAGGTGCAGAGAAAATCACCACCTCGGACACTGAAAGGGCAAATCCTCAAGCACTGGATGAGAGGTTGTGAATTGGTGTATCCACAACCTTGTATCATTAGCAAAATTTAAAAAAAAAACAGGCAACCTGGAAAAAAGAATTAATCTCTGTCTGTGATCTGGATTTGTGCCAGATCTATGCTTCTGACTTTTTTATGCACCCTGTCTACCCATAATATTTGAGTCTGGTCTTATCTTTTTGTGTGTCTAATTGTGTGTGTATGGAAGTTTTAAAAAGTGGGTAGGGTTTAAACTATACAGGTATAGATTAGCAATTCAATTTATCCACTTATTTCCATTGATTTAAAATAGTTTGACATCAAAATAACTATTTATTGTAATGGAGAAAGACCCTGGTTCGCATATTCTGTTAGCCTAACTTAAACAGTTCGATAGAATCGGGCAGTTTGGTGGTTTAATTTTTTCACATTTTGTGATGGCTTTTGAAATAATGGGCCTGACTTCCAACATACTATCCCAGTGAGTTGTGACAGTAATTGCTTTAAAGGAAACCATTGCAGCTGGAAACTATAATTTTTGTATTAATGCATATTCTTATTTTCAAATGAAAAGACCACAGTACAGTTGTTTCCTATACATGATATCAGATTTTCCATTGGCTAAATTAGAGGAAAAGAATGCTGAATACATAAAACTTTTACAGAATAGTATTGTCACAAGTAGAAAGGAGGCAATGGCTGAAGTTGCTGCTTTTCCAGGTACAGTTCTTACTGCGTATAAAGTACACTTTTTATTATTTACTGAGCCTTACAAGTAAACACAACTGTGGGATTTATCTATTTAGAAGCCGAGAGCTTAATACAAAGGAGCTATGTCAGAAACACTTGCACTTCATTGGTCCGTGAGCTGTGTTTTTCAGTATATATAATTCCGATATCAAAATTTCTATTAAAATAGGCAAGTAAAATTATCTGTAAAATCATTTGTATATACAAAGTTCTCTTTGTTAGTAATGTCTGAACCTGTCCTTATACACTACAGGCAATCTTTCATGTAAATTTGCAGGAAAGTTGGACAGAAACTTGAGTTACTTAAAACTAGACAGCAAGTTCAGTTCCAAGGCAATTACACTTACGTATTTTCTAATATGAGTACAGTTGAGGCATTAAAATATAAGTTTTTTTGGAATAGTGCACAATGTATTAAGTGCACAAACATTCACTAGGTTTTACATTTGCGCATTTTCTTTAGAATCCTGTACTGTGCTTTTAAATTCACAGAATCATGGAATTGTTACGGTCCAGAAGGAGGCCATTTGGCCTATCATGTTTCAGCTCTGAGGATTTTGACTTGGTGCCAACCTCTTGTCTTTTGCCCATAACTCTGTTGTTTCTATTTAAATAATCATCATCCAGTGCCGCCTTGAATGTCTCAATTAAACCTGCCTCCGTTACGCTCACTCACCGGCAGAGCGTTCCAAATCCACACCATTTGTTGTGTGAATGGGTTTTCTTCACCTGACATTTGCTTCTTTTGCAAAACACTTTTAAAAAATATGACCTGTTTTTACAAACCAGAACAGCTTCTCCCTATTTACTCTGTCTAGACCCTTATGATTTTTGAAAACCTATATCAAATCGCCCCTTCGAAGGAAAATAATCCCAACCCCTCCAATTTATCCTCTTAACTGACAATAATTATCTCTGGCATCATTCTTGTAAACCTTTTTACTGCACCGTCTCAAATGCATTCACATCTGTTATAAAGTGTGGTGCAGAGACCTATACACAGTACTCCAAGTGAGATCTAACCAGTATTGAATATTAGTTCAGAATAGTCTTCCTGCTCTTGTACTTTCTTTATTATTGAAGTCTGTGTACAATATACTGTATGTTGTATTAAAAGCTCTCTTTTATCTCTCCTACTACATTTAAGGACTTGTTTTCGTATACACCCAGGTCTGTTTGCTGCTCTACAACCTTTAAAATAGTATTCTACTTTGTATTGATTTTTTTTTTGTACCAAAGCGTGTCAACCTCACTACAAACCTTCCTCCAACTTGAAAAATACTCATTAACCATTACTCTGTTTCCTATGACTCGGCCAATTTTATTTCCAAGTTCTAGTATCCCTTTTATTCTATGATCTATCACTTTCCTACAAGTCTGTTGTGTGGCACTGAGTCAAGCCCCTTTTGAAAGTTGATGCACACATCAGCCTTGCCCTCATCAAGCTTCTCTGCTATCTCTCTTTTTTTGAAAATACATTCTAAGTTATTTAGACATGATTTTCCCTTAACAAATCTATGCTTACTCTGCCAAATTAACCCACATTTTTCCACGTAACTATTAATTCTATCCTGAATAAATATTTCTAGACTTTTCCTACCACCAAAGTTAAACCAACTGGTCTGTAATTGCTGGGCCTATCTTTACAACACTTTTTGAACAAGAGCGTGTTCCCAGACCTCTCTCCACCCCTAAATCTAGGAGAGATTGAAAGATTATTGCCAGTGCTTCCGCAGTTTTCACTCTCACTTCTGTCAATATTTCATTACTGACAGCTGTCCCAAAACCTTGACTTCATTAATTTTAAACCTTTCCAGTGATTGGTTTCCTTCTCTCACACCAAGGCCTAGGCAGCACTGCCTCCTAGATTAAGGCAGATGGAAAATATTAATTGAACACCTTTTGAGACTACTTGTCTCCATGTTTAATTCCACCTTTTTGGTCCCGAATCCATACTACTCCTGAATTGCCTACTCCTACTCCCAGATCTTATATACTTTTACTACTATTGCTAGTCTTTTCTAAACACCTTGTAACCAGGAATATTTAACACCCAAACATTCCCTTCCTTGAGTCAGGTCTCTATAATTGTCACAGCATCATGATTCCACTAGGCAATCTGTACCCGTCATCTTAACTATACTCCATGCATTCACATACAGCAAACTTTGTTTTCAGCAGCACCTTAAAAACTGGCGCTCTCGACTTAAACCAGAAACAATTATATGCCTCAAAAAACTACAAAGTTTACTGCATTATTCTGTCTCATTATTATAGTTTTTAAAATTTGTTTACTTCAATGTAAATATATGTGTTCAATTGAATGATCACGTGAAATATCAACGTCTGTTTCTATTTTGAGTCAATTTCTCCTCCTATCCTGTGATCTACTGCAATGTCAGAGTAGTCAGTTGAGGGTACAAGTGAGAAGGCTGTTGCCTGGTGAGTTTTTCTTAAGGCAAAGTTGCCTTATTGTTTGAGTGATTTATGCTGTAAATAAATATGATAGTAACGTGTACTCCCTGCATCACATTTCTATTACTTAGTGTGTGTTTTTACATCGATTATGTGGATCCCTTGATTATCCAGAATATTTGATCAACCGGCACACTGCTGGTCCCATGGGTGCCAGTTAATAAAAAGTTTGCATATGCATTATAGACTTTATACTTTGTTACTGTCTTCTTTGACTCATCATATTAGCTCACTATTCTCTGTTCTAGTGCTGTCCACCTCCCAACATTTTTATGCATTTTGATATTACTTTCTAATACACTCTCTCCTGGTTCCTGCACCCCTGCTGAGTTAGTTTAAGCCCCAAAAAGTACTAGCAATACATCCTGCCAAGAACTCAATCCCAGATGCAACCTGAAAGTCAAAATCGCCATAAACGCAGAGGACAATAGGCTACCATGCCTCTAGGGCAAGATGCAAAGTTGAGAAGGTGGGGCTTCAGCACAGTCAGTATGGTAATTGTACATGTAATGTTGCTGTCACTCTGCATTGCAAACCAGCTGTCCAGCTAACTGAATTAATTACAATGAGAACCGTAATGACCACCATTAGATTAAGTTGTTTTTAAATTTCAGTTTTTAAAATTTGAATTCAAATTTCAGCACATGCTGTGGATGGGATGTGAACACATGTACTCGGACATTGGTTCTGGACTGTTAATCCAATGACATTATTGTTGTGCTACCATCCCCGTCTAAGCTTCAGCTTTTCTTTTCTTAACTATTTATAAACCATACTGATTAAAAGATTCTTAAGAAAATATGACTTCATTACAGTGCACTCTACTTTTTAATTGAAGTATTTTTAACTCGTGCTGTCTTGATCATTTTCAACATTTTCTGAATTTGATTGCAGATGTTATGAGTTTGGGGGGTTAATTGAAAAAAATAAAATTTCCTTTTACATTGTAGCAAAATTAAATAGTTTTTAACTAACATACTGTTGGCGATTGGACTGCTTGCTGGGTAGTTATTATCTGTGCATCGATACAACAAAAACTTTTTGGTAAGGATTTGACTATAAAAGGTTTTCTGACTTTTAAATTTGAAAATCTGTAGATATTTGTACAAAGCTAATTTTAAAAAAATCTTTCAACAGAAAAACATTAAAAGTTGACATTAATTAACCTATGCACTTAAACCATAATCTACATTTTAAACTATTTTGAATGATTTTAACTTATTGTGGATGTGTGCCTATTAAAATGGCGACCTGCGATTGCCAGTCTGTCCCCTTGAGGATTCAGAATTTATGATGTTTGCCTTCATTCAGAGAATGAAGGCACATTTCCTGACCACTTTCTCTGAAGCAATTCCTGAAGAAAACCAATCAACCATGTTACTTTCTTGGTAATAGAAAAAAACTCTAAGAGATACAAATTGTTCGCCTAATAATTTAACATGAGGACCCTTGAATACTCATTAATGGTGTATATTTATTCTGTTAGATTGTGAAATTGACAATTAATACTTTTCAGTTAATAAATATACATTATATTTCAAAGAACCAGCATCTCCTCTTGCCATTTAAATATGCTTTTTATTTCTATTAAAATAAGCATAATGTTTGTTTGCAGAGCGATGATTTCATGACAGTTTTGAAATCTTTGGTATGCATATTGAAAGGGAAACTGCATGCATTTAGAAATGGCAACATAAGAACATCGGAAGGTAAAAATAAGTGCTGGAGTAGGCTGTCAGGCCTGCTCCACCATTCAGTATGGTCATGCCTGATCTCTTCGTGGACTCCGCTCCACTCGCCCACCCGCTCACCATAACCCTTAATTCCTTCACTGTTTAAAAATCCATCTGTCTTTGCTTTCAAAAAATTCAACAAGATGACCTCAACTGCTTCACTGGGCAGGGAATTCCAGAGATTCAGAAACCTTTGGGAAAAAATGTTCCTCCTCAACTCAGCCCGAAATCTGCTCCCCCTTATTTTGAAGCTGTGCCTCATAGTTCTAGTTTCATCCGCCATGGGAAACATCCTCTCTACTTCTATCTTATCTATTCCCTTCATAATTTTATGTTTCTATAAGATCTACCCTAAAATCTTCTAAATTCCAATGAGTATAGTCTCAGTCTACTCAATCTCTTCTCATAAGCCAACCTCTCAACTCTGGAGTAAACCTCCTGTGCACCCCCTCCAGTGCTGGTACATCATTTGTCAAGTAAGAAGACCAAAACTGTGTACACTAGTTTTTTTTCTGAAGAAGGGTCTAGGCCCGAAACGTCAGCCTTCCTGCTCCTCTGATGCTGCTTGGCCTGCTGTGTTCATCCAGCTCTACACCTTGTTATCTCAGATTCTCTAGCATCTGCAGTTCCTACTATCTCTGTGTACACAGTATTCCAGGTATGGCCTTACCAGAATTGTATACAGTTGCACCATAACATCTCTTTTTAAATTCAATCTCTATCAATAGAGGACAATATTTCATTTTATGCTTCATGCAAGAC